CTACCTCCAGCTAGGATCAAAGTGAGCAGGTGAAAAATGAGTAAAAGAACAGAGCATTCTGCTGCCCCTGAGATGGCAGCCTGCAATGAGCATTTGTGCCAGGTTTTAAAGGCTCTCTAGAGTGTCTCCTGTCTCAGCCTTCTAGACCTGTGTGTCCAATATGGTAGCCACTGGCCATGTGTGGTAGTTGAGTACTTGGCAGGCAGGCTAGTCTCAATTGAAATTTACTGCAAATGTAAGATATATACCAGAATTCAAGGATTCAGTATGAAAAAAATGCAAATACATGATGAATAATTTTTATATTGATTGCATGTTGAAATGATAATATTTTGGATAATGAATTATATAAAATATATTAAAATAATTTTTTTTTTTTACTTTCTATGTGGCTACTAGAAATATTTAAATTATATATGTGGCTCACATTATGTTTCTAATGGACAGTGCTGCTCTAGACCTGTCATCCAGCAGAAGGATTGGGGTAGCTATTCCAGCTGGAAGGGCAAATGGAAGCCCCCTGATAGCAGCTCTGGGGATGACAGGAGCCATGGCACAGCCGCTGCCACTATCTTCTTTATTTGTCCTGTGTGAGTCCCCAGGAAAATTTAAATGTATTTGGGGAGAAGTTTCCAACTTAGTTTTTACAATAAAAATGGGTTGTAAGCCATCAATCTAGAAGTAAACCTAGAACTCGAAGGCGCATATTGTTATGGAAACAAAAGTGAATTAGAAATTAGGAGACTTGGATTCTAATGCAGCTCTGCCATCACTCATTTATTCTTTCCATGGCACTGAGTTCTCACTGTGTGCCAGGTCATATGTTTGGCATAGTAGTGCCCTGTGCTAGGCATTGGGAATTAAAAAACAAGGCACAGCTTCCGGTGTCATGAATTCATATCCACTGTGGGTCCTCAAGCAAGAACCTCCCATTTAGGGGTCTGCCAAAGTAAAACAGATTAACAACAACAAGGGTGTCATTTTTAGGTCAAGGGTTTAAACTTGGGTAATAGGACTTCTGAGAATCTAGAGTAGCTGCCCTGCCTATAAAGACTTACACATTTAAAATTTAGAAAAACACTGTGATACCTAAATAAAACTCCTCCATAAGCTAGATCACGATGTAGTATGAGCTTCAAGATCTAGTATTCTATAAAAGACTCCTTTAACTCTAAACTTTCCTGATTTGGTGTTCTGATTCCTTTTATTCAATGGCAAGATTTTATTTGTTTGTTTTGAGCACCATATGTACCAGGCACTGTTCTAGGTGTGGGGGATATAGTAATGAGCAAAACAAAGTCCCTGCTTACATTCCAGAATAGGGAGGTGGTTAGAGAGAGAGATCCTATATTTGTTTGCTTGTTTATTATCTATCAGGCAGGTGGTAGTAAGTTCTCTGAAGAAACTATAGCAGAGTAAGGAGGTAGAGAATGGGGGGGTTTTTTGTTGGGAGGCGCTAGTATTCAGGGGCTAGCTAGATTCCTGCTCACATGCCTTCTTCAAGTCTACTCACGAGAACCATGAAGTAGTGAGGAAAAAAGATTATGATGAGTGCTTAAGAAAAAAAATACTGTGACATTTGTTAAAGACAGTAAGGCAGACTTTATTCAAGGTGATTATTACCTTGGGGTATTGTAATGGGGAGAGAGATTGAGCCCAACTCTGAATATAAGGAAAAGTGAGAATTTATGGCCAAGGAGCAGGTTGAGGGTCAGTGGATGGAAAATTACTAAGAGGAAACATCAAGGGTAGGGCGAAGTCTGGCTTGACAGGAGTTTTGCTGGAGGTAGGCCAAGGTGGTGGATAAGGAATTTGGTCAGATATCAAACGTGAAGAGTTTTCATAAACTGACCCAGCAGGATTCTTGGTAAAAGTGGACTAAACAGAGCTCAAGGTCAGGGGCCTAGTCAGAAAGAGAACTTAGAGCAACCAGACTCAGTTTTGGTCAAAAGAGAGTCTTTGTCATGGGTATCTGACTCTGGGTGCGTATGTATTGTTTTATGGTTGGTTATATTCCTTGGTATAGTAAATCTTGGTACTGCTGAAAGGGAGCACTGAACAGGGTAAGAATACCAAGCTCTCATGGCTGGCATTCTTTCTTCATTTTGAAGTCTTGATATGCTAACCCTCTGAAGGCTGCATCCTCCCTGATGCTACTGTATGTTACCAGAAGTTCTGTCTCTCCTTTTGGATGTAATGCTTGAGGTTTTCTTTCCTTTACGTGTTTAGCTCCTGGCCTGTAAATGGGGTTCCTCCTAATGCTGACGAGGAGGGATGGCAAGTCCTAGGAACTGTAGTATCTAGTTTAATCTAGGGCATTCTTAATTCCTGTTGGCTAATCTCACTCTTTATACCATGTGACTCCGTCCACTTTCTCTGACAATCTTTGTAAACATTGATTCTTGCCCAAAGATTACCATCCTAAAAGTACTCCTATCTGTTGTAGCCCTAGAAATCCATTCCTCCCACCTTATTAGCCATACAGCATAATTGGTAAATGGCCCAGGAATGATCTGACCTCTGTAGAAGGGTTGTGGGGAGGTGTGCTCAGAGTTCCTGGCTTTCTGCCTTCTGGGTTTGTTTCACACAAAGTGAGAGGCTGATTAATATATACACAGAGAGTCCTGCCCTGTTCCCAGAAGTCCCCAGTTGTTTCTTCCCAGCCAAGATTTGGGTCAGAAGCAATTTTACAAGGAGTACTCCCATTCCTAATCACATTTATTTGATGTCAGAGAAAGACAAAAAGAGTCAGCCATTTCAGAAAACGGAGGGGTTTTTTCCTCTTGACTTTTTTTGGTAGTCTGGTGCTGATATGATTTAAGGGTTTACTCCCTGCCATAGTTCTCAGCTTTCCATCCTTGATGTTTTCTCCTTGGGATTGATACATTTTGTTTTGATATGTTGTCTTTTCAAACAGAGATATCCCTTGAATGGGGCTGCCTTATTTTTCCCAGCTTTAGGCATTCCTTAGGAAAAGATAGCAGAAAGGTGTGGTCATTTTTGAGAGTGTATGTATGAAATTTGGAGAGTTGACTAGAGGCTAATAGAGCAGGGCAGAATTAGAGCACTAGGTGCCTTGAAGGAATCCAGAGGGTCAGCTTTGAGCTGGATGGACCCCAGTGCCTCGTTATCCCATTCCAGCTCAAATATTACTTCTCTATGGCTTTCCCTGTCCTGGTTTTGCTGGGCCTCTCACTGTCTTCTCATTCCCCATCACTGGAATTAAATGCTTATTATTTATGATTTATTACAACTTTATTATAACATGTTTCACTTAATTTTGTGATTGTCTATATGCCTATTTCCCTCCCCAAACCTTAATATATTAGAGAGCAGGAACAGTATCTTATATCCCTGGCACATAGCTTAGTGCCAGACAAATCAGTTGAATTGATTTAGAGACCAAACTGTCCTCACTCTTTAGCCCTTGTTATTTCATTCCTGTGGACAGTAGTAGCAAAGAGAGTATAGGGAAGGAGGTGGACTTGACTTGGGCTTCCTGGCTTCCAGTATCCTATTGGGTTCTAAGCCAAGTGACTGGTTGATTCTCTGGGCATTACATTGAACTCTGTCCCCTGCTTCAAAACCTAAATATCTGGATGACTGAATGGGTTTGGTGCCTTTAGGGAACCCATATCCCCAGGAGGTGATTCTTAAGTTCATCTAGGGGCTGTGGTTACTAACTCATAAGAATTTTTTTGTTTTAAATCTTATTTTATTATGTTATGTTAGTCACCATACAGTACATCATTAGTTTTTGATGTAGTGTTTTGTGGGGAGTTTGTTTGTTTGTTTGATATGGAAGCAAGCTCTTTCTTTGAGGCTGGGAGAAGTTGCTATGGTAGCTCTAGTTGGAAATTTCCTATTTGTTAGTAACATAGGAAACCAGGCAGCTTTGCCTTCAGTCCTTCAGGAGGAAAGGACTCTGAACACAGTAGCCATGCCGTTTGCCCTGTGTATGGCTAGCCAGACAGTGTTGAAGGCACTGTTCTCTCAGAGGAGACCCTTGGCAAGACTGTCCAGGAAGTTAAGCCAAGCCTATCTTGAGTATTGATCTGAAAAGCAGAGATCGGCCTGAAGTTAACCTGGCCTGCACTGAATCAGCTTCATTTTTGCTCCCGAAAAGCTGCCTTCTCTGGACCAAAGTGAGGGTGGTCTGGGCCTCACCAACATTAGAAAGGAAAAGTTTGCCTCCTATAGCTATTTGCCCCTTCCTCATGCTTTCAGACTGCCTGAGGGAGCATGGCAAGCCTTTTGTCACCTGAATAAAATGTTGGGAACTGAATGTTTTGCTCCTCTCTTTTTTTAATCTTAAGAAAAAACTTCTAGAAGAAAACAGGATTAACAAAGAATGACACGCTCCAGTGGTCTGGTTCCAGGCAATGCTGCAGACCATTAAAAGAGACCAGGAAAGATAGGGGTTTTGGGGTTGGATAGAAGTCATGGTTTACTGAAATCATACCCTTTTATAGGTGGTTGCATGCTTGGCAACATTCCTGTGACTATCTTTCCCACTTTATAGATGAGGAAACTAAGGAACAGAGAAGTCAAGTGTTTAATCCAAGGTCACTGATGAAACAAAAAACAACTTAAGTCTTTTGATTCTTAGTCTAGTAGCGCTTGCTCATGGCTTCATGTGGTCATATGCAGACCTTCCATCTTGGTTTAGTAAGCAGTCTTTCTCTTTGAGACAAACTTGAAAGGCTGATTACCCAGACCAGGGACCTTGTTCAAACCTAATACCGGGTGCCAAGACCAAATCAGGTGAACCTAGACCTTGCACAGTTGGGGCAGGGACGGGGGAGTGGGGGGAGAAGAGAGGGGTGGTTTTGGAAGTACAGGTGCACTTGTGGAAGGAGAGAAGGAATAATTTGACCAGTCAGTCCTAGAATTGGGGGCTTTGTTGTCTAGGCAGCTAGGCACTAGCCCAAGACCCAGCAGTTCTGGTTGTGCACATAGAGTATGTCTTCTCTCTCTCTCTCCCTCTCTGACACAGATTATACTGAGTTGGCCGGATTAGGAGTATGGCTGATCCTGGCCCCTTGAGACATAGGAGTAAAGCAAAAATGCTTAAAAAGCAGTAATTGGACCTTGGCAGTGCCTCACAGAATGGATAGCATTTTTAGGTGAGGAGTTCTTAAATGAAGTAGAGTTTTTAGATGAACTACAGAGAAGGAGGGAAGACGTGAAATGGGAATTAATCTCGTTTCTTGGTCTCTAGTCTCTTGGTTCTTGGCCTTGTTATTTCCAGTAAAACGGGTCAGCTTAATCTTTGTCCCACGTCTTCTGACTCATGCTTCTGATTCTTTCTAGTCAGGGAAAGCAGAGTGCTTTTAATTTTTAAGCCCATAAACTATAGATGGTAGCCCTTCCTGAAAATGAGTTGCTGTGGGAGCTGTCAGCCTATGCTCTTCACAGGCCGTTTTCCCCTTTTAGGGTTAACTTGAGTTATTGGGAAAAGAAAAGGAGGCAGGAGTTTAGATTTAGAAATCTAGATCAAATCTAGAAAATGGGGAAATCATCTCTGATTGAAGAACATGAAGGATTGCATGTTTCCCACCAACCAGTTTTACCCCTCCCAGGGTAACCCAGCAAAGCCAGAAAGTATTAGCAGTCCCAGGCATTCCGGGGCTCTTAGCTTTTCCCTTTGTACTTTCTACTCTGCTCCTTCCCTACACTCTGCATGTTCCCAGTAAAAAAGGAATGGATACCCACTCCTTATAAGGTAATAGTCATCTTTACTCTGTAGTAGTCACTGGTAGTTTAGGGTATAGGGGCAGGACTAGTGGCAGGCTAGCTTCACCTTTTTGGAGAATAGCAAAGTACCCTGGAGCCCTCTGTGATATAACCAGTTGCCCACCTGTCCCATGCATTGTTCTCTCCAAGCCGTCGGAGGGCTAGAGCAATCCTCTGTTACTCCAGGAGTGCTGAAAAATCACTTACCTGGAGCTCTGAAGGGAGGTATTAGACCAGATGCACCGTGGAGGAGGAAAGCCAAACCTGTGTGTTGATTAGGCTGCACCAAGCGCCTGGGGACTATTAAATGGAGTTCAGGACTCCAGGCTGTTCCTGAGCTTCCTTCATCCCCAGCTGTGAGCCCACCATATGTGTGTCTTTGGCCACATGCCCCACTAGATCCAAACGTGCTTAATGCACCTGAGTCTGGACAGTGATTTTTGCTTATGCCATGCCACCTTATTCTAGAATTTTTAGAAAACATTTTTTTTTCCCTCCAAGTTTTAAATAGTTGCCATGGTCTTTTCTCCAAGTGAAGGGTTGCTGTCACTATAAACACAGGCAGGAACCAACCTTGGAGTTGCTGAGTTTTCAGCAGAACATCTGACTGGGAAAACAAACATTCCATGCCTTGTTGCTGTCTTTCACTGTGTATGTAATTTGAGCTTTGGTAGTTAGGCATCTATTTGTTCATTCCTGAATCAGACCCTAGTGTTGAATTTTGTAAAGGTTCAGTCACTCATTGACCTTACCCACCTCCTTCCCAGGAGTTTGTCTTAATCTTGATGCCTTTGGGTACTTGCCCAGAACACAAGGACTTGATACATCAATACCCTGATGGGAGGCCAAGGAAAGAGAAGTGACTGCCTACAGCTTTGAAGGCCAGCAGTGGGAGACAGGTCAGGGTTGACTTCTGCAGTCTTAGAAGGTAACATTATTATTCCTGCTTGACAGTTTGATTCGGATTTAAAACTATCCTGCTGCTTTTTGACCTGAGTGCCCTATTTCCCTTTTTTACTAGCTGCAGGATAAGAGTCAAGCCAGGATCCAGGGGCATGTACCAGGTTTGGAGACTACACATGGGATCATTCCAGGCAGTACTGTGGGCTAATCCCAAGGCATCACCCAGCCATAATTGCTAGAAAAAGACTGAAAAGAGCAGGGCAGTATATCTTCTAAGACAGTCTCTGTTAAGCACCCTGACCAGAAATAAGAGGAAGAAACAAGAAAATACCTCAGACCCTGAGGGAGAAAATGAAACGATTGTTGCAAGAGTCAGAGGAAGAAATCATGGTCACCTTGGGACCCTCCTCCAGGCTTTCCCCAGATAAGGCTAAGTCAGAGACTGTGTGTGGCATCAAGAGCAAGTCCTCAGGCCCTATTGAATCCTTACCAGAGGATAGCTCCCTGCTCCCTCACTGTGGGTCAACAGCCTCAGTCATTGGTGGGGATAGAGATGGGGGTCTGGCCCAGCATTGCAGCTTTGAGCAACAGGCCGGCAGCCATTTTCCTCTGGGCTCTACTGTCTGTGCTTCGGGATCTGGCTCTCAGGACCTCTCCTCTGTCAGCATTAGCACAAGCTGTCAAGAGCCCTCAGAAAGGAATCAAGCCAAGTCCCTTTTGTCTAGAGGCTATCACCAAGGCTGCAGCTGTGAACAGCGAGAGCCTTTGGGGGATGTAGTAGACTATATAATCAGAGAGCTACAAGGCATCAGCCGTCTCCAAACTGAAATTGCTGAGCTGCAGCAGCACTTGAGCCAAGTCCGGGGTTCAGTGGATGAAGTGTCTAGCTGTGTAGACTCAGTTCTGAGTGAAATAGAAGGCTTGCAGGTGGGCAGCAGCTCACTGGCCAAGGTGTGTGGGGGGGAAATGGCCCAGGAACCCCATGTGGACAGCCCCGGTGAGGACGCCATTCTGTATCTGTATGGACTTCCTGAGCAAGATGGGGAAAATACCGTGGAGCTGGTACACAGCTTTCTGGCCATGCACCTCTGTGTTAACGGCATGCAGTGCAACAGGTACATCAAAGAGGCTTACAGGGCAGGCAAAGCCCCAGCCCCCAGGCCTACTGTTGTGAAACTTGCCCGTCTAGAGCATAGGGACTTCATCTTGCAGAAATCCATCCTTTTGCAGAGTGTAGGGGTCCGGATTGCCACCAAAGAAGAACCAAGCTGGCCACAGCGCTGTAAGAATCCCCAGAAGGAGTCTCTATCGTTTTTGCAACTTCAGGATCATAATGCAAATTCTTTAAACCAGCATGAACCACTTTTTCAGATGGAAACAGGGGACCCAGGAGCGTGTCAAATGAGGGCTCAGAATCAACACAAAGAACCTCAAACTCCTAAGCAGCAAGGCCTTTGCTTTCCACCCAAGAATAATTTCACAAAGCCAAGCGATATATCTAAGCCAGGAAATGAAGTAAAAGGAACATCAGGAGCCTCCCAAGTTATCAGTGGCAGTTGTGGTGAGCTGACAGGGAGAGAAGCTTCTCTGTCCACCTTTCATCAATTTGAGGAACCTTCCCCAGTGTTAATCCCAGAAGAGGAGGGCTCTGGGAAATCCCAGGTTTTCAAACAGTCCAGCCAAGGATTTGAAACAAAAAGAGCAAATAACTGCGGCAATAAAAGTGAGGCGGGCAGCTGCCTGTCACTGTCTGGGTTACTGAAGACAGAAGACAACCTCCTGGCCTGTGAAGCTGGGCTTGGTATTCTGAGCTCAAAACAGCTAGAGGACCTTTTGACAGACAAGTCCAAAAGGTTTGCAACTCTGAGCCATGACCACATGATGGAAGAAATTATTGTAGGGCCTGAGACCTTCAGTGACATGGTTCATATTGACTTGAATGAAGAGGAGGAACATGCTTCTCGGGTCCTTAAAGATGTCTTTGAAAAGTCATCTTGTGGTCTGGTTGGCTTGCAGGAGGATGAAGATGTAGAAATTAAGTTTTACAAAAGCAGACTGGGCAGAGCAATTGACCACTTTCGTTCAGCTCTGCAGGGCGTGTTTCAGAAGCTGGAGAATAGTGGGTCCATCAGTCCTGAGGACCTGGAAAGCAATGAGAGTGGTTCTCAGTCAGAGAACAGTGATAGACTTCTTGGGACATTGAGTTCAGAGGGTGCCCAAGATTTCTCTGTGGAGAGCCCTGGGAGTCAGGAGAGTGAGAGCTTGCTCAGTGTGGTCTCTGGTGGAGTGGGCATCTCTACACAGAGAGACCAAACCTTTCAGGATCCCAGCAACTTCTCTCTTGCTTCTAACTCTTTGCCTATTGCATATTCATTGCCAGGTTTTGCTTTGGCTCCGTTTCTGGGAGGTGAAACATGTTCCAGGCCCGAATCTCTCAAGCAGGGCAGACTAAGCCTAGAGCAAGTGTGTGCAGAGACCATCTACCTCAACAAGTGCATCAACAATTTTAAAAATGTTCTGAGAGAGAAAAGACTGAGGCAGAAAAAACTTTTGCATGAGCTAGTACAGAAGGCAAACCATGTCTCGGTAGAAGACATACACTCAGGTATTCTAAATCTATATTTAATGGGGTCACAGCTTGCTGGGTATGGCCTCCATCAGGCTAGCGTGAGACCCAGCTTGGTGGTGAGTTTCACAAGGTGATGGGGGAGGTCCACAGCTTAAATCAGTCTAAATTACTTGAATACAGATTTTAAGCTAATCCTGTGGGAACTGGAGTGCAAGAGGGTTCTAAAGCAACAGGAAAGGAGTTCCTGCCTCTAGGAAGCTTCCAGTCTATTGGGGGGTTGAGGGCGGCTTTAGAAACTACCTTTCCAGGGCACCTGGGTGGCTCAGTTGTTAAGCATCTGCCCTCGGCTCAGGTCATGATCTCAGGGTCCTGGGATTGAGCCCCGCATCGGGCTCCCTGCTCAGCGGGAAGCCTGCTTCTCCCTCTCCCACTCCCCCTGCTTGTGTTCCCTCTCTTGCTGTGTCTCTCTCTGTTAAATAAAGAAAATCTTAAAAAAAAAAAAAAAAAGAAACTACCTTTCCAAAGAGGGAGGAACATGTGGGTAGAAGTAGTTTACAGCTGCAGGACTTTTAGGATATGCCACTGTAAAGTAGGTGTGGTGTAGGAGGCAGGAATGGGCATATTGCTCACAGGCACTGGAGGGGCTAATGCAAACACTGCATTTTAAAATTATTCTTCATGGGTTTCATGCTGAGATAAGATTGCCATTTCCCCAGCAGCTGATGGGCCATTGTGGGAATTTCTCTTATCCTGACCTTTCTTTTTCCCAGTACTGGACTTAACACAGAACCTTATTTTCAACTTGAAGCTGTCCAGTGCTTGCCCTACCCAAGAACCCAACTGCCTTTCACAGGTCATATTCCTTTTCTTCCATCTCTGGCTAAAGGCTCCTCACCTAAACTGGAGAATGGAATGGTTTTGACTCAAGAAATGAGAGTACTTTTTTTCTAGGCAGCGTGGAGATATGTAGTTTTAAAATTACTTCTCCCAATCAAAATTAAATATATCCAAAGAGCATATGCTGTATTCATCCAGTTTTAAATGTAAATGGGGTTGTCCTCCTATGCATATAACCTGATTAATGTTTCTAAGGGAGAATTAAAATTATGAAACATATTGTGTTGACAGAGGTGTGAGGGAACAGGCACTCCTGCATTGCTGGTGGGATGGGAGTGTAAATTGGTATAACCTCTAAGGAAGACAACTGGCAAAATGTATCAGAATTCTGTATACCCTTTGAACCCTAAAATCACTTCCAGGAATATATCCTGTAGGTTTATTTTCACATGTGGAAAGAAACATTTTCACATATGTTCTATTTTTGAAGCATTGTTTTTAGTAGCAAAGAGTGAAAACAACCTAAATGTTAAAGACTGGTTAGGGGCGCCTGGTTGGCTCAGATTATTGAGCTTCACTCTTCGCTTTGGCTCAGGTCATGATCTCATCGGTCGTGGGATGGAGCCCTGTGTCTCTGACTCTGCCCTCAGAGGGGAAGTCTGCTTGAAGATTCTCTCCCTCTGTCCTTTCTCCCACCCAGGCGTGGACGCACACACACACTCTCTCTCAAATAAATAAATCTTAAAAAAAAAAAAAAAGGACTGGTTAAATAACCTACTGGCAGATCCTAACAATGTTATACAGTATTATATAACTATAAAAAGAATGAGGTAGCTCTTTACTAAAATGGAGAGATATCAAGGTATATTGCAATATGAAAAAGCAAGGTGTAGAACAGTATGTATGTCTACATTTGTATAAAAAAGAGCGGGAAAGAATACACAAACCCATAGTGTTTGTATCTGTTTGTATAGAACATCTAACAAAGATACATAAGAGACTGATACCTGATTGCCCATGGGGAAAGGTATTGGGTGAAAAACTAAGGAGATGAAAAGTAGATTTTTTTCACTGTAAACCTTTTTTATACTTTTTAGAATTTGAATAATAAATATAATACCAAGTTATAAAATTAAGTTTAAAAATACAAAACTAAAATCATCATGTTCCTTTCAAATATCCCTAGAGCTACTCCTTATAGCTTATGAGAAAAGTCTAAATTCCTTCACTTGACATTCAGGATCGCTACAGTTGGTCTCTAGTTTACATTTGCAGGCTTATCTCTAGTTGTCCCACTATGCTCCACCCAAAAGGAAACTTTGCTGTCACAAATTCGCCTTGCACTGTCTGTTCTCAGCATATTCACATATACATGCTTTCTTTTAGCCTAAGGTGCTGTGTTCATCAAATCAGCCTAGCAGAATTTACTTAATTCTTCAATATACAGCCAAAACATCACCTCTTCCAGGAAACTTTCTATAATTCCTCAGCTGTAAGAGATTTCTTTCTCCTCTTAACTTTACAGCCCTTTTTCCTTCTCCCTGGGCATTTAGAAATTATTACATTACAGCAACAACAGAAACAACAAATAAAGCAGTACTTTCTTACTAACTCCTTAAGCCTTGGTGGCAGTTGATGTTAGGTTGAGTACCCAGCACACTTGGGCTGGCTCTTCAGCTTGCAAAATTCCCCTTCTGAGCTGATAGCCTGGTGGGCAATGCAGGAACTTGTGGTACCTGAGGTAAGCAGTGGTGGCAGCAGCAGTGATAATGAGACAAAGGTTTTCTGAAGCACCAATAAGAAAGGAAGCCAAAGTTCTGGGTCCTAGTCAAGATCAGGTCTGGTCTGTGGGCTGCAGAGGGAGTGGTTGGTGGAGGGGTGCTGGGTCGAGGCCTGACTCCAGCAGCATTCCATAGGGTAGGAAGAATAGAGCAAGGTAAGCACATAGGGATAGCTTCACCCACAACAGCAGCACCCCAAGCTGATAAACTGATTCGGTATTAGTAACAATGGCTACTACCATAATGAAACATTTAAGAAATCCGCTTTCTTCATTGCTCTGCTTGGGGCCTTAGGGACTAAGCTTACTAGTAGCTTACCATTAATTTGAATTCTTATTTTTCATCCTTTTTCTTGTCTTTTGGGGTGTACATAGCACTGTTTTAAGTACTGTTACATGCATTATATAAAAATTCAATTCTTTTATTTCTACCACTCTACCAAAATAGCTTTTGTCAAGAACATTGGATGACCACTGTATTGTCAAACTCCTGTTCCATTTTTAGTCCTCCTCTTAGTCAGCAACTTGACATAATTGATTACGTCCTTCTTTTTATTATAACAGCTTTATTGAGTTATAATTTATACACCACAAAGTTCACCTTTAAAATCCCTTAAAAAGTGTACAATTGAGTGTTTTTTAGTAGATTCATGGAATTATGCAACCATCAACTCCAGAACATTTCTATCACCCCAAAAAGAAACCCCTTACCTATTAGTTGTCACTATCCAATCTTTGCTTCCAGCCTCTAGCAGCCACTAATCTACTTGCTGTTTCTGTGGATTTGCCTGTTCTGGACATTGCATATAAGTGGATTCATATAATATGCGGTCTTTTGTGACTGGCTTCTTCCACTTAGCATGTTTTTAAGATTCAACCATGTTGTAACATGTATCAGTACTTCATTTCTTTTTGTGGTGGGATATGGATATGCCATATTTTGTTTTATCTGTTCAGTATTTGATGGGCATTTGGTTTGTTGTTGTTTACTACATTTTGGCTATTACGAATAATGTTGCTATGAACATTTGTGTACAAGTTTTTGTCCAGACATATGTTTACAGTTCTTTTGGGTATATATTAGACGTGGAATTGCTGGGTCATATGGTAACTCTAAGTTTAACATTTTTGAGGAATTGCCATACTGTTCCCCAATGTGGTTGCACCATCTTACATTCCAACCAGCAAGGCATGAAAGTTCTAATTTCTCCACATTCTTGCTAACTCTAAATTAATGTCTGTGTTTTTTATTATACCCATCCCAGTGGGTGTGAGTGGTATCTTATTATGGTTTGATTTGCATTTCCCTAGTGGCTAATGATGTTAAGCATCTTTTCATGTGCGTATTGGCCATTTTTATATTTTCTTTGAAGAGATGTCTATTCATGTTGAGTTGTGTTTTTGTTGAGTTGTAAGAGTTCTTTATATATTCTGGACATGTGCCTCTTATCACATATTTTATTTGATTTGTAAATAATGCCTCCCAGTCTTTGTGTTGTCATTTCACTTTCTTGATGGTGTTTTTTTTTTTGAAGTATAAGTGTTTTATTAAAAAATTTTTTATTGTGGTAAAATATACATAATATAAAATTTATCCTTTTAACCATTTTAAGTTTGTTCACATTGTTGTGCAACCATCACCATCATCCAATATCCAGAACTTATTCGTCTTCCACAACTGAAACTCTCTACCCATTAGACTAACTCCCCATTCTCCCCTCCCCCCAGCCACTGGCAACCACATTCTACTTTCTGCTTCTTTCAATTGACTGCTGTAGGTACCTTATATAAGTGGAATCACACAATATTTGTCATTTTGTGACTGGCCTATTTTACTTGGCGTAATGTTTGTAATGTTCTCAAGGTTCATCCATGTTGTAGCATGTGTCAGGATTTCCTTTTTAAGGCTGAATGGTATTCCATTGTATGTATATATACCACCTTTTTAAAAAAAGAAATTTATTTATTTGACAGAGAGAGACACAGCGAGAGAAGGAACACAAGCAGGGGGAGTGGGAGAGGGAGAAGCAGGCCTCCCGCGGTGCAGGGAGCCAGATGTGGGGCTCGATCCCAGGACCCTGGGATCATGACCTGAGCTGAAGGCAGACACTCATCCGACTGAGCCACCCAGGTGCCCCTATATACCACATTTTGTTTATCCACTCATTTGTAGGTGGATACTTGGGTTTCTTCCACCTTTTGGCTATTGTGAATAATGCTGGTATGAACATGGGTATATAAATATCTCTTTTGAATCCTTGCTTTCATTTCCTTTGGGTATATAACCAGAAGTAGAATTGCCATATTGTTTTCTATAGGGGCTGCACCATTTTGCATTCCTACCAACAGTGCACATAGGTTCTAATTTCTCTACATTCTTGCCAACAGTTGTTACTTCTCTCTCTCCCCCCCCCTTTTT